TCTCCTTGGCCTCCACCATGGGACCCGCCTGCCCAGTCCACAGGTACGGGACAGAAGCTGTGCTGGGATTGGGACACTGTGGATGTGGAGAAGGTGCAGGAGGTGGGCTGCAGTGGGGATGTTCAGAGGGGTGCCTTCCTGCTGGTAGAGTAGGAAAGGGAGAAGACCCTCCATACCACACACAGAGCATGGCCCCCGGGGCTTCCCTCTGGCAGAGGGGCCACACACCCAGCTGAGCCTGCAGAGGGGCGTGGCTGGGACCTTCTGTCCTCTGTCTGGCCAGCATTTGACTTGGACCACTGCCCTCCCCCAGGCAGCCCCCTGCCACGCCTCAGAGGTCCAAGGCCTGAAGAAGAACCGATCCGCGATCATCCCACGCAGCACCCAGGCCAGCCCAGACCCGAGGCTGTCCACTACTCACCAGACACACCAGTCACCTTGCTCACAGGCTGGCCCTCGGGGTTCGCGCCTTCACGGGTCCAGCCTCAGCAGCTGGCTCGTGTCGTCTCGATTTTCTCCACGTCCCAGTCCCAGTCGCATCAGCACCAGAGAAGCCCTGGGTACAGATTGCGTGTGGACTGGCTTCCCTCTGTCCAAGCAAAGACGGCACCACCAGCCTGACTCCAGCGTCCGCTCTTTGAGGCGTGTGTCCCCAAGGCCTGGTGCCCTGACACTGTGCACACTCCACGCTGCGCCAGCCTCCCCTCCCGCCACCAGCTGCCATCCCACTGCAGCTCCTGTTCTCCCTTGCAGGGACCCAGCCTTGCCTGGCCCCGACCCCCGCTGGGAAGGTCCTTGCGGTAGCCGGCACCCCGGCCCATCTGAGGTCCAGGCCTGATCAACAGCTTGTGCGTCTTTCCGCTGCTGAGAGGTGCCCCCCCCCACCTCCCCTGTGCTTCAGGCCGGGACGTTCCAAGGCTCGGGGTGTGGACGGCGGGTTTTGTAATGCCTTCGAGGTGGACGGAGACAGAGACCCTTTATGCATAAGAACCAGGGCAGGTGCCAGGGGGGTGGCAAAGGCCCTGTCCTGAGAGAGACCAGGTGGCCAGACTGATGGACAGCTGCCCCCAAAGGCCACTGAGACTGAGGTTGGGGGTCTGTCAGAGGAGACGGGAGCCACTGAGCAGGGAGAGGAAAGACCCAAGGAGCCGCCCTCCGGGGGCCTGGGGAGGCGGGAGGGACACGCTGAGGAGCAGGGCCCAGCTGAGCCTGCGGTGTGCGCGTGTGCCCGTGGGTGGGGCTCGGTCCCCTGCCTGGCGTGTGTGCTTCTCGGGAGCAGCACGGTCCCGCCCCATCCCCTGGTGGCGCACAGTCCGGAGCCTGTTTCTTCTGTTCTGAGGCTCCAGCCCCTTCATTTCCATGAAAAGAGCCTATTTCTCCTCTACCTCGAGGCTCATTTCCAAAGGCCGCTTGCTCTTGCCGCTCTCTTAGTATGTCTGATGCTCGAGGCAAAGGTAGAAAAAGCAGCAGCAGCTAAACACAGCCACCCACCATCCCCTGCCTGCGCGGAGATCTGCTGGCTCGGGGCTCGCAGCAGGGGCACAGGCTGTCCTCGGGGTCGGGAAGGGCTGCCGTCCCCACGGTCAGTTCCCCTGCCGAATCTGGGGACTGGTATACAAAATGACCAAAAGCAGTGTTGGGGGACACTGGCTGCCCCAGGTGGCGGCTCCTGGGCCGTCACACACCCCTCCAGGCCCACGAGCAAGCCAGAGGGTGTTTCTCAGGAAGAGGGGAGTTCTCTGCAGAGAAGAGCCTAGACGGTTCCCAAGTCCTGAGGCCCGCTGGGACTCCCCTGCTGGTGCTGGCCAGAGGTCCCCACGGCCCCCCATTTGTCGGGGATGCTGTAAGCGTCATCGATCTGCAGGATGACGAGGCCCGGGGCGGAGCGGCCTGGACTGCGGCGGAGCTTGCCGTGGAGCCTGCGCTGGCTGTGTTCCCCGCTCAACGTGGGCAGCCTCACAGAGGGCTTTGTGGAGGGGTCAAAAAGACACGCTCAGATGTGGCCTGTGTTACGTTCAGTTTCCAGGAAGGCCAACCAAGCATGGCTCCTGTGTGCGTGTGTGTGCGTGTGTGCCTGTGCGTGCATGTGTGTGCACGCACACGAGGGGGTGGGAGGCAGCAGCTTTTCTTTCACCTCGGAGGGGATGTCTTGACACTTCCCAGACCCCGGAGGCCCCAGAAACATCACCAGACTGGAGGGTCCCTGCATTTCTGTGGGGCTTATCTCCCACCCTTTAGTTTACATGTAAGGCATCTGGAGCACCTGTTACTTCCTGTTCACATATAATTACCATAATGTCATCCACGTAGTGGCCCAGCGTGAGGTTTCGTGGAGAGTCAGGTTGATCAGGATCTCTGATCCCTGTGATGACAGAGAGCAGAAGACTTGACTTAGCTGTGAGGGGGGACCGTGCAGGTACACTGTTGGCCCTGCCTGGCGAAAGCAGACTTCTCTGGTTCTCTTTGCAAACTGATACAAAGCAAAAGGCATGTAGCCATTTTCTCCAGTAAAGATGGCACATTGGGGATGGCAGCTGCAGTTGGTGTCACCACCAGATTGTTTGGGGTACTCCACACCATTCTCTAAGATCCGTGTGATGCTGCACCATCCAAACCGGTGAGGTAAGAGGGGATGTGACAGGCACAACCTCCCTTGGTTCTTGCCAGTCTCTGATGGTGACCTTCCTCCCTGCACTCCCCGAGGGTGCAGGACTGCTTCTGGTTTACTCTCGTAGAGAGGGGACATTCGGGGACTCCCTCTCTAGCTTCAGTCCCTCATCTGTAAAAATGGGATACAATCACCACCTCGTTCATAGGGTACTTGTGAGGATTTAATGACATAAGCACGTAAAGTCCTCAGCACAGGGTCAGCCTGTGCTACCAGCTCAGCTGGTGTCGGCTCTTGGTATTGCGTTGCTAGTCACACTGCGGACGTGGCCAGGCCCCACTCAGTATTGCAGGTGCGGGCTTATCTCAGAGATACGGGTCCAGTTCCAGACCACTGTAACCAATCAAACATCGCAGCAAAGGGCCGGCCCGGTGGCGCACTGGATGGTGCGCCGCTTGGGAAGCACGGCGGCGCTCCCGCCCGAGGGTTCGGATCCCACATACAGACCGGCTCCCGCTCACTGGCTGAGCGAGGCGCGGGAGCAACGCCGAGGGTTGCGATCCCGTTGCCGGTCCCCGGTCCAGTACGGGGGCAACACTGAGGGTTGCGATCCATTGCCGGACACGGAAAAAAGACAAAAGACCAAAAAAAAAAAAAAAACATCACAGCAAAGCAGGTCACACAAACTTTTTGGTTTCCCAGTGCATATGAAAGTTGTCACACTACACTGTAGTCTGCTGAGTGTGTGATGGCATTATGTCTGAGAAAACAATGTGCACACTTTCATTTTAAAATACTTGATTGCTAAAAAATGCCAACATCATCTGAGCCTTCAGCAAGTTGTCATCTTTTTGCTGGTAGACGGTCTTGCCTCGATGTTGGTGGCTGCTGACTGATCAGGGTGTGGCTGCTGAAGGCTGGAGTGGCTGTGGCAGTTTCTTAAAAGAAGGTGACGATGAAGTTTGCCTCGTTGATTGAGTCTTCCTTTCGTGACAGATTTCTCTGTAGCAGCTGATGCTGTTTGTGTGTTCGCCGGATCGGCACTAAAACGTCCTCCATATCAGCACTGAGGCTGGTTCACTTTCTCACAGTTTGTGTGTTCAGTGGAGCAGCACTTTGAGTTTCCTGCAAGAACTTTCCTGTTGCATTCACAGCTTGGCTGACTGTTCGGTGCAAAAGTCTCAGCTTTCAGCCTGTCTCACCTTTCCACGTGCCTTTCTCACTAAGCTTGACCATTTCTAGCTTGTGATTTAAAGTGAGACACAGTGACTCTTCTTTTCACTTGAACACTTAGAGGCCATTGTGGGGATACCAAGTGGCCTAATTTCAACATTGTCATGTCTCAGAGAATAGGGTTGGTGGAGGAGTCAGAACACACATAACATTCATCAGTTAAGTTTGCCATCTTGTATAGACATGGTTCATGGCGCCCCAAAACAATTTCAATAGTGACGTCAAAGATCGCTGACCACAGGTCACCATAACACATATAACAATAATGAAAAGATTTCAAATATTGCAAGAATTGCCAAAATGTGACACAGAGACATGAAGTGAGTACGTGCTATTTGAAAAATGGCACTGGTAGACTTGCTTGTCACAGGGTTGTCACAAACCTTCAATTTGTAAAAAATGCAATGTCACCGAAGCACAGTAGTCCCACCTCCGCCGGCCACACGCATACACAGTGCGCTGCAGCCTTGCTGAGCGGGACGGTGGGGAGGGAGGATGCTGCAATGGAAAGTCGTCACCTCCGTGTGGCACTTTTCCGCTGCTTTGAACAGAAGTGACGGATGTTCACCTGGAGGAAAACCAAGCAATGGGCTGAGAGCCTCCTGAAGCCCCCGGTTCACGCAGGGCCCAGCCGCAGCTGGAGGGCTTTGCTGCTGCCACCGGGTGATGAACGCCTGCCCTCGCAGAGCTGGTTGCTGGCAGAGGGGACGCTGCAGGAGCAGCTGAGAAGGAGGAATAACCGGAGACAAAGCCTGCTCAGATTACAAGGCCGGCCCTCGAGCCCAGCAGAGGCACCTCCCTGGTTTTGATTGTGTGTATGTCACACACCAGCTGGGGCTCATTGTCCCTGTGTTATAGATGGGGCTGCTGCGTCCCAAAGCCCCGCTCCAAGGTCACAAACTCACTTGGGAAACAGGGGAGCTGGGACTTGAACCCAGGCGTTCTGACCTTCCCTCACCCCCCGCCCCTGGTGTTTTACCACAGTCCCAAAGAAAATTTCGGAACCCATATTTATTGAGTGCCTGCCATTGTGCAGGACCAGGCTCCCGCAGCTATGTCCCATGCTGAGGTGTGAGGCCAGCCTCGTCCTGGCACGCGGGACAGGAGAGGCCTCTGTGGGCGCACACACCTGCATGGGTGGCCTGCACGACACCGAAGCATGCCCGGCCGTGCCACTCACGTGCCTCGCCGTGGGGAGGAAGGGGAAGAAAGCTCCATCCTCTCCAAACCCACAGCAGGCACAGGGGTGGGCCGTGGGCTGGCTGTGCCACGGAGCCTCTGCTTGAAGCCGCGCAGCGTTGTGTCAACACTTTTCAAAACGGGGTGTGGGCTGGAGCTGCGGGGCGGGGGGGAGGCGTGTGAGCGAGGCAGCCTGCCCACTGCCGCGTGTTGCCAGGAGCGACCGTGGCTGCCGAGACGGGAGCTGTGGCATTTAGGGGCCCCCGCCTGGCCAGCACGGGGGTGGCTTCTCTCCTGCAGGAGCCTCAGGAATGATGCCACCTGGTCGGAAGCGGGGATGGTGGCTTTCTCTTGCCTCTTCCTGGTTGTCTCCTTCCTCCTGCTCTGACAGCTGCAGGGACTCATAAGCCCCGAGTGGATGGTTGAGGGCGGGCTAAAGGCATCCTCGAAAACACTGTGTGAGCAGGTGGCTGCCAGCCGTGGCCGAGGCCAGGAGCTGGAGCTGGGTGAGGGGCCTGGGCTTTCGAAGACCCAGGTGTGGAGGGACTCAGAGCCCCTAGGGAGGACGCCAGATGGCATAGGGATGCTATCAGAGAGCTTTCTGATCAGCGGAAGAGATGAGAGCGGGGTTTGAATAAGCCATGGAGACCAGCGAAGAATTAATTACATAACCTGTATGTTTGCATATGTCCACGTGATTCCAAAAGGACACCTAACAAGCCGCTGAGAGTGGCTGCCCCTGGGGAGGGCAGCATTGCCTGTGCCACCACGGCAGGCCACCCACCTGGTGCCTTTTTGTACCTTTGGGATCATGTCCCCTGTGCACCTTTCCAAGAATAAAGGAGTTTTTAGAGTTGTAATTAGGGGCGTCCAGTAAAAGATGGCAGCTTGAAGTCTTGCATTCAGACTGACTTTCTCCCAGAGCCCGTCAGAATAGCAGAAAACTATCTTCAAAGAGGCACAGACCATCAGAGGCAAAGGGCAGAAACGGAGCCGGCGGCAGAGCAGTTTTGGAAGAGACATGGCAAGTGGACTTAAAGGCCCCAGAAGGTCGGATCCTGCCTGGGCCATGGTGGGGAAAACAGATGCAGACAGAAACACATCACAGGACCCCGCAGCAGGCTGGACCTCCAGCCAGGCCCCTGCAGGCAGAACCTGCAGCCCAGAAGTGCAGGGCCGGCTGGACGCCTGGATGGGACACTGTCAGAGCCAGCAACCCGCCTGTGCGTGTGCATCCCAGACGCACCCAGAAAACTAGGAAACACAACGCACGTGCTGTTCACTTCAGCTCTGTTTGTGAGCAAAAGACTGAAAACAAGACGTGATC